AGAATATAACAAGACACTCACCTCGAAGGACAGGACCGCCCGGTGCCCCGAGACGAGCGTCGAAGGGTGGAAAAAGTCCAGGGACACGGGCGGTACCTATGCCTGCCCCCGAGAGTGCCTCGAAGGTCAGATAGCCGGCTATGGGGCGAATGCCGCCCTGCAGGATTTCCTCCACGGCCTCGCTCATATCATCGTTCAACTCCGGCGACTCTATCTTTCGGGGATAGCCATTCCAACGAACTGGGAGGGGAGGGCCGTCATAACGGAGGAAGAAGAACCAGTTTTTCCAATCATGGATGGAGGAGGGGTAGCTCTTGAACAGCCTCCTCCCCGGACGTGCGGCCACACTCAGATAACCGTCAGAATTCTGAGGGGTGATCCGGAAGAAGTAGTGGAACAGGTCCAAGGTGGCATCGACTCCCACAAGCTGGCAGCGCACCAAGAAGGCCGATATGAATCGATATGAGTTTGGCATGAATTGAGCCGGGGCCACCTGGAAGCAGTGGAAGAACTCCACATAGAATGGATGGAGTGGAAACCGCAGCCCGGCCTCTACGGAATCCAAGTGAAGCATGATCATTCCCGGACGTCTCCTCATCACATGCTCAGCACCTCTCACGCTCCAGACGAACGGCGGGGGGAAGAAAGTACGGATTTTGTTGAGGGCCACGCGGGAGAGGACTTGGTCGTGGTCAAGGGCGCTCCTGATCGGGCAGATGTGGCGCTCCATGTCCGTAGGGATGCCAAGGTCATGCACCTCCATGTCAGAACCGGACTCGGCCTCCTCCCCAGAATCATAATCGGCTGGGCGCTCATTCAGGGGGGCCGCGTCAATAACATCAACTGCCCCATCAGCATTCCCATCCCCGGCGTCGCTCCCACTACCTTGGGAAGCACCTTCCGGCTCACCATCAGCCCGGATGGTCCCCACCGTCGTAGCCGAACCAGAAGCCCCAGAAACGCTGGCCTTTCCGGGGGAGCGCGCATCCACATTGTCAGAGGAGGAGCCCGAAGAGGAACCCGATGAACCAGAATCAGAGCTTGACGAAATCTCCATCGAAGTCATTTCGGCTAGAAGTCAGAACAAAGAAAAGAGGCAGAAGGGAAATTACCTTAGGGAGGAGACTGGCTGAACTCGAAAACGGGGGAAAGAACTCGAAGAACAGCGGAAATTCAATAGCAAGAGAGCAGAAATTGGGAACCCTAATCCAGAGGGAAAACCCGACATTTATAGGAGAAACACCGATGGGGGAACCAACGAGGGGCTGACACGTGGCAAGGAGCGTATTCCTGCTCACGCGCCGTGCGTGGGGCGAAAGCATAATGATGACATTTCCTCGGAAAAGGTTCAGCCGCTACAGCAGCCGTCACCTCGTTTCCTGAACCGTCGACAGCTGTTAAGCACCATGACCATGAGCGTACGCTTCCACCGGATGCAATGAACACAAGTACCAAGACACGAACGTCTACTTCGAGGGACTTCATACTTCCTTATGTCCTGCGCATGCTCAGAACATCAGAAGTGGGGGACTTGTGTTGGGTTAATGGCCCAAGCCGAGGTCCGGCCCATTAACCCCTTTTTACCAGACGTACGTCCAGTTAGAACACAAGGCTAGCACGCAGGCCCATGTTCCTTGAGGAGGGACGAACGTCTGGGGTTGGGGGTTCAGGCCCAACGGCTCATCCCGACGAACGTCTATGCAGGGACAAGGAGCAGGACCACGGGCCACCAGGGATGACGACGAACGTCTCCAGAGCAAGCCTATAGTCATCGGGGAAAACCCAGTCCACGTGGTGAATATCCATCAAGGCCAGGAGACGAACAGCCGAAACCTCTTGAGGGTCACTTGGAGCAATCCAGCTCGCCTCCCGGGCGGACGAACGTCCCCACTATTTAGGCGGGAAACCTAGATTCTGGCGGGAAGTGCATTTAATGCTGAAGATTTGGTGGTTGGGACACCAGCGGTCCACAGGCCTCCACGTCAGCATAGCCACCTGCCCATTGGTGGGTATAAATAGAAGCATTTATTTCATTGTAAAGGGTTGGCAACTTTCTATTCTTAGCATTCTAGCTTTAGCATCCTTACTCGCAGCACTTCGAACTGCCTTGTAAGACGAACGGCCGACGTGCCTCTTTTTAGCAAGTAGATTGCACTTAGGGGAGTTATTACGAAGTTAATAATACCTATTTACATTGCTTGCTATTTCCTCTGTTTCCTGATCCATCTGATAGTTGTTGGGCTAGATATTCATATACTCGTACACTCGCTCCACTCAAAATCTTTGGGCTTGCGTGTTGGGCCTGAAGGTTGAAGGAATAAACCTCAACAGGGAGTATAATAAATCATCCAAAATTCCAGATTTAAGAAGAAAATACAAAAATGAAATACAAACTATATTGCACCTCTTACTTTCTTGTACGGTCAAAAAGATTTGTATGGAAGGCACTCTAAATCTTCAAAGTTCAACACTGCATCTAAGAAGAAAAACAAAAGGGTCTAAACCCCTGCTCACTATCGAAAATACAGGAGGCTTAGTATGTTGTCGAAAATACAAAAGGGTCTTTGAGCTTGTTTTAGTCTAAAGATGCTGCTCAATTTTAATTATGGAGGTACTTCGTATGTTGTAGGCTTATTCTGTAGGCCTTTGCGTTAAAAGAAACGGCACCGTGAGGGGAGGGGCCTCAATTATCAAAAAACGTAATTTTTGAACCTATTTCACCCCAAAAATAGTTTAGGGTCATATTTCCACCTAAAGTAAAACATTAGGGTCATTTTTGCCCTTTTTCCCTATATATTTTGTAAAAGTTGAAGTATCAATAAAAAAGATGTAACACTTTGAAAAATACTGAGACATATATTTTACATGGGATCCGTCTATCTTAAAGTGGGGTTTATACGTGGACCGGTTACCTTGATTCAGTGAGAGGAGAAGAATCCTTAGTTAGTGACGTTGCTACGGTGGATAACTGGACATGTATATGATTGTGTCTTGAAGCAGGAAAGAAGAGGGGTAGATGGTTGTGTGTGGAATTGTGAAATGACGGGAATAGGATATAAAATGGGGATATTTCAATGTATTTAATGATATTTGATCTCTTTTTTTTTTGTCCAAATTAGGATATAGTTCTTGATAGATTATTGAATCCAAGCTATATATTTCTTTAGTTATTTAATAACTCTAAAACTTTGAATGTTACACCATTCAATCTTACTTTGAACAACGATAAAAAAAAATCTTACTTTGAACATGATATTGAATGAATGATATTATGGATAAGGTTTACATGACCCTATAGTCTATACAGGGGAAATTTGGTGACTTGACGTAGTAAGAAGCAAACTGTGGTGGCTCGTACTCTCATAGTAGTGATGAAGCATAATTTTGTGCTATGGCTAATGAATTTGTGATGGAATTTGGTTCAATGGAGTACTAAATGAACCTCACCTACCTCTAGAAAGTCCAATAAAATTGTATTGTGAGAATAAGGCTGCTATTTGCATTGCCAACAATCTCGTACAACATGATAGAACTAAACATGTGAAAATTGATAGGCACTTTATCAAAGAGAAGATTGAAAGTATAGTAGTTTATGCATACTATATGTTTCATAACAAGTGACAGACATCCTCATAATAGGACTATTCAAACCTAGCTTTGATGGGACCATCAGCAAGTTGGGTTTAATTGACATATATGCTCTCAACTTGAGGGGTGTAGATTTAGATAAATATATACTCTCAAATACTAGTAATGTATAATTATCTTTCATTTTGTTTTCTTATTCTTAGGGATATAGTTTCCTTATTCTGAGAATGAAGTTTCCTTTTGAAGAGAATTCTTGTATGTATATATGCATAAACATATATGTATAAACCCCTTTTGAAGAGAATTCTTCTTGTATGTATATATGTATAGAGTTCTCAAATAATGTATAATTATCTTTCTTTTTATTTTCTTATTCTTAGGGATTTAGTTTCCTCTACATCTATTTTTTTGGAGAGAGTTCTGTAAATCTATTATTCATTCAGAATAGTGAAGATTTCGTATTATATAAAACTATAGTAATTAATGGATGGCCAAAGGGTAACTCAGTAACTACATTCTTTAGAACACTAAAAAACACTTGTGACTGGAAACTGAAAATTTGCCTGCAGCACCGTTTCTTGGGCTGGGTTATGAGCAACACGGGACAAAACAGAAACAATACTGCCACAACGAAAACCAGCTGAAAGAACATTATCTCATAAACGACGACTATCACCCCGTTTTCCTGTATAACAAGTAAGAACATAAAATACCAAATACAAGTCCATTGCTACAAGTAACATCTTGTTGTCCAATTTAGGAGGTGCTGCATTTCTGAGATCATGAACACTTCAGGATTCTCTTTTGTAGGTATTGATCATCCCATGCTATGCTCTTATTCGTTATTATAACTAAAATATCCCATCAATAATCTCACATTAATCCCTAACAACTACAACTCAGAACAGTGAATAATCACCTAGACGACACCTACATAACTTATCAAAGATAAAAAGGTCTGCCCACACTAGTTAGACTCAACACTTGAGTTTGTGACATAAAGAAGCACATTTCTAGGGCCTCTTGGGAATAATAGTGAATTAACAAGCTCATTTATTTAAGAATTGATGCTATGATTAATGATTCCCTTGCTGATCTATGGAAACTACGGTTATATTACCTCATTTGGTTGGCATTAAAATACTACCAGTCCCTTGCTAGTGTCGGATCACATTGTCTGTTTCATGTTTTAAGATTACTAGGGTAATGTTAGAATGAAATGTTAGATTACCGTCACATAGTAATATTAGGGGTGATTTGTCTACATTGGGTTTCTTAGGAAATTTAAGCTTGTAATAATGTTATGTATTCTTTCATTTTTTTTATTCTAAACCAATTAATATTACTCCCCCAAACAAATACACTAGGTAATCTTACACTCCTGTAAAGCACATTTCCTAGAGAACGTACATTCTAATAATCTCACATTACCTTCCCAAAGATAATTTCATTACCTTACATTCCAAGTACCTGAAGCCCCTTAAGAGATAAAGAGGATATCATAGGGGGAGAGTGGCAGTTTAGTCCTTGATCTTAAATGCTTGTCAACGGAAGAAGGATAACCAGTTTAAAAGGTCGTCGTTTGGGATGACTTGTGGAACATACAAAAGCATTTATCAAAACTTCCAAAGCAACATATATCGATCTATTACTGAAACAAAGATGATTTTATTGAATTGAAAATCATTAACTTTTTACCTTTTATAGGGTAAAAAGCCTTTTTCTGAGTTGTCAATTAATAAAGCACCAAATTGGCGTTTAAAAAAAGTAGTAAATGGATTTTTTTATAAGTCATCCCAAACAGAACTAACTTACAAGGGAAAAAAGGAAACCATAGGATAAAAACTACAACATACTAACTCAAATAACATCATTTTTTGTTATATTGTAATATATGTATCCACATGTAGACAAACCATATCAGGTGAATTGGCCACTTTTCATTTCTCTTCAAACTCAACATCAATAACATCTGGCTGTGACTTTGAAGACTTGGTACGTCGACTGCCTTTGGAAAAAAAATCACTTTGTGGCTTCCATACAATGCTTCCACAACTAGTGCAGCAAATCGTTTGCATTTTATATCCAATGAACTGCCTTCTACAAGCCGGGCATTCTCCCTACACATTTGAATCAGGAATGTTGGTAATTTATGAAGTATTAAGCAGTATTAAATTTCAAAAACAACTACAATAAAATGATAAGAGATAACTCAAAAGGCACAAAGCAATACTATTCAACCTTAAAGAAAATGGCAGCAAGAAACGAACAACTTACATTAATTACAAGAGTATTAGCTACAAGCCCTGCAAGAAGAGGAGCGGCAATTGGCAAGACCAAAATTCCAAATACCAGAAATCGAAATAACAATCCCGATACAGCAAACCAAATGAAGACGCCTGTCTGCAAAATTGCATATTCGTAAATGGGGTTCGCAAAATGAAAACAAACATGATCTCTACATATAACCATTATACAGAAAAGGTACACTGCATGACCTAAGCACTGATGATAGAAGAAAGCATGAAACAAATAAAACCCAAAATAGTAATATAGAATAGACGATGTGTAATATAAAAAAAACTGAGAGCTCATATTAATGTGTTCTATCATAAAAGAATACTCCCTCTATCCCAAAGTGTAAGAACCATTCCACTTTGGCGTTCTTTAAAAAAAATATAGTGAAAAATAAAACTCGGGTACTCCAAGTAAATGCCTGAAAGCCTGAAATGTATTATGGGCATTTTACGGGTTATACGCTTTAAATATGTTTTCTTAACATGAAGAACAAAAGATATATCATTTGTAAAAAGACAATTCTTCTGCTGCAGCAGAGGGAGGATAAATATTTGACAAATGTTTAGGTCCTTGTAGCGATAGCTGCATCTTAATCTTTCACGTATGCTGGCTGGTGAATCACCAAAGTAATAACTGTTGTCATGTAAAAAGAGCTCCAACTTGTGGTAAAAGAGAACATCATGACCTTGAAACTGACCACACTTGCAAAAACTATCGTTGTTACATTGTTCACCAAATTCTTGGGAACAGCATTGGCCGTACCATGGCTGCCGCTACAAAACGTGTAGTGACAGTAGCCTCCCCCCCTCCCCCCGGTTTCTTGCAGCCCATCAAATCAGTGAGAATTCCTACAACTCAGCATCTGTAAGAGGGTCTACTGAATACAAAGAACAAACACAATGGGCGCAAACTCAACACAGAGTTGTGATAACAACATGATAGATGAGAACTTCAATAGGACTAAGGTTGTTGGCAAGGGCTAGATCATCACGTGACGCAAACAATCATGTTCATGATAGCAGATAGACAGAAATAGATTTAGCACCTTAAGTGAATTATGACAACTGGGTTTTGAGAGAGAAAATATGTGTAATGGAGGTAATGACAAAACTACTAGTCAGCCAAGTCCAGAAGTCGCATACCGTGGTGGAACTAGCAATAAGTGGTTGAACCATCTCAGAGCAGCTGTCTAGGAGTGTGTCTACAAGAATTTGACTTTGATCATGTTTGTACTAGACCATATGGAATAGGGTTTCGACTTTTTGGTCCAACTGTAGTCCCTTTGATATAATAGAAATTGAGACCTGTGAGTGTTGCCTAAATCTGACAACTCTAAAATAGAAATTTTGGGAGTAAACTTGACAGGAGAGGGAGTCAGCGTGTGCAACAGTGGAAGTAGTGGTGATCAGTGACAATGAAGTGGAAGACACACATTTTTAGAGGGAAAAAATAGGATTGAATGACACGTTTTAAGATTCCAATATCATGTAAAACCTTTAAATCGTATCAACTCCGCAAATGAAGACAACTTAGACTTCCTATAGAGGGAAAACATAGAAATAAACAACAATAAAGAAAGTAAATACAGGAATAACGCTTAATTAATTTTCTTAACACACTCTACACTGTAGAGTGAGTCAACACTCCAGACAGAATTTAAAATTACACGGATGAAATAATACTTGGATGCAAAGAGCCATGTCATAATTCATATTCTGCATATCCCGCTTCTACATTGGTTTGGGATATAACTTGGTGATAATAAGGATAACATCCCCTTGAATATCCCTCAAATTGGGTTCTCTTAGAGCTACTTTTAACAAAACTATGTCTTCTGCAATTTAATACACTTACCCCCAACGTTTTTCCTAAAGGAGTATCCAGAAAGTCCTTCAGCGTCTTCTTGTACTGCAGATGCAACAGAACCCCAAATGATTACCCAAATTTAGATTAACCATATACAAGAATCTCAAAACATAACACAATATATTTCGTTGTAAAGTTCCCTCGTTTTATGAGCTTAAGTCTAGAGTACAGAGATAGAAAGAACAAACCATCGGCAAATTTCTCCTGAAATCGAAAGTGAAGGTGCGCCAGCGACTAGTTATCTCAAATTCGCGGTCAATCTCACGGGCACGGTAAGTAGTTGATTCAGCTGCGGCAGAGAGCCTTTGCACCAGACCGTATCTACGGTCGATTCTCTCAGCTGTCTTCTTCGTCTCGAAGACAAAATTCTCGAAGCCGTCATTAGCTCGCCGCCACGCGGCTTTCCAAGTATCGATGGAGGTTATTCGCTCCGCTAACATGTCAAAGTCGCGGCGCCTGAAGGCATGTACCGCCGTCATGCGCCGGACTGGAATGAACTGCCTTGGTGTATGACATCGAAATTGAATCCTAGCGGGTAATCGGGGTTGAAACGATACGCTTGTTGCCATTATTACAAAGTTGCCCGGATTATCCTGTGAAAGGTCGTCCAGATGCTAGACGATGACAAATGTTCGTGTTGCGAGTTGTGAAATGTTTCTTGTTAATAGTTGCAAGAGGTAACAGCTAATAGAATTGATTTTGGGTGATTGATAGCCCTTTCAACCTTTTAGATAACTGAAAAAGTTGTTTCTTAAATAGCGGTTCCACATTAGCGTTTTTATACGAAAATGCTTTAATATGAGAGTTTTGAATTGGTGTTTTAAAAATGACGTTTTCTTTTAATTTTATAGTCAAACACCTAATTACAACATCTCTAACAACCTGTCAATTTATTCCGCTAGTTAAACTCGCTCACTGAATCCACTATTGACAACCCGCTATCCGTTAATTTGTAACCGCTGATTGTCAAACACGCCCTTTAATTTCAGTAAATGGAAGTGTTTGTGACTCCAAAAGATGAATTGTTTATGCACAGACAATATAAGATTATGTATACTTTCCTTAATTAAAATTAAAATAAATTGTCTATGTATAGATATTGGACCTGATCTTTTTTTGTCTATGTATCATTTTTCCCGCTCATATAGGCCATATGACCAAATCAAGGACAACTTAGAAGTACGGAGTAGTTATCTAAAAGCATGTTCTATGCTATTCTCAAAATACAATACCTTATCAAAATAGATAATTATAATTGAGCAATTTAAATATTACTCCCTTCGTCTCTTATAAGTTATAACTTTGCCAACTTTCCTTTTTTAGATGTTCCATTAATTTTGATACTTTCTCTTTTAAGTAAAGAATTTGTTGTTCCAGTTAATTCTTCTCCTCAGCACAAACCTCAATCACACAGTTTTTACTTTATTAATTCATGTGCCGGTCAAACTTGACAAAGTTATTAGGGACGGAGGGAGTAATAAATGATGAAAACGTGATTTGGACTAATCAAATAAGTTTAAGTGCCGCACACAGACTTACTCGTAGAAAATGAGTGATGAATGCTATGGTGCCCATAACAAATGAGGGCACCATATTATACGGTTATACCTAACACCTGCATTTGGTAATTAGTTCAAATCGTAATTTTATCATTCATTCATATTTAAATTATTCAATATTAATATTTTTTTGATCAATATTGTTGAGTTTAATTCAACACGATATATTAAATATATGTATAAATGTGTATGAACAAGCTCAGTTTTTACGTGGAAACGCAAAAGGGAGAAAATCACGGGACCTTTTAGGTTAATGTCCAAGCCCTCTCTTTCTCATTAGGCTCTCCTCACCATTACATAGTACAAGTATTGAAGCTCCCATTAATGGAGGATAAAGCTAGCTAACTTATTCTAGAGAGAAGGAGGAGGGTAGGGAAGAAGAGACCAACCCCTAACATGGAGGGAAAGCCTTCTTTTTATATAAAAAAAAAAGGATGACACCCCATCCCTGAGGGCCCCCCAACACCGATCGGACAACACGATGGGAGGATGTAAGTTGGACTATAATCACAACCTGACAGATAGAGAGTGAGGCTCCGTCCTCGGTACTTGCAGAGGCCCTATGCATATTTCTGCATAGTAACCCCTTATCGCAGTTGCCGGGATTCGAACCCGAGACCTAACCCTTGTAGCACTCCCTCGCTACCAGTTGAGCTACGCCCACCGGTGCCTTCTATTTATAGGGAAAAGGGGATGTGGGATAAGTCTACCCTAACGGGCCAAGTAAGCCCAAAATGGGTCCAAAGGGCCGAAACAGGCCTGATAGGCTAAAACGGGCCTCACTGACTGGGCTCCGTACTACGTAGAGTCTTGGGCTCCTGAACAGTAACGGACCGGAATAATATACCAACGTAGACAAAGTATGTAGCTTGGAACTATTATGAAATTTGAAAAATTAAAATGAGAAAGTCAACTTGGAGGGAATTAATTGAGGACAAATTCAATGTTAATGGGTCAGTTTTTTCCCGTTGGTCGCTCCAAATATCATAGATTTGTACCACTCACATTCTTTTGTCTTTTCACGTCCACACCCCACAGTCGAGGATTGATCAAACAATATACGGAGTTTATTTGAACATATGTTTTTATTAGGACTCATTTCAATCGATGAAATCAAATTAGATCAGATCTCAACATTTGTAATAAAATTAAACATCTACCAAACCATATAAGTTTAGATCAGGACAGTTCAGAAAATTTCTGTCCATGTAAAAATAAATAAAAACATCATCAATATCTTATTAGATTTTTCAGCTAGATTTAAATCTGTAAGCAATATAGCCAATACTTTATCGAACTTTGATTTCAATGTGGCATCTCATTAGAACGGATGTAATTACAAATAAATGACATGAGGGTAAACATCGTTGCACAAGTTGTGCATAAAAGAACGGATTGGAAGAAATTAAATACATTTTTCTGAACAACAAGTCTCAAGTTCAACATAATTAACTAAATTATGTTGTGGTTGCTCCAAACACTTACTAATTTTAAACCAAACAAATCATATTGTCAAAATATAGCATTTTACTTGAGAAGGTGGAATAAAAAGAACTATTAAATTTGCCAATATAATGACAATTATAGCCTTCATTCTCTAGCTCTATAAAAAGCATGCACATTTTTATATGTTCATTCATCAACCCCTAGCCTACTACAATATAATCATATACGATACAAGTGAGAAGTGCTATTGATTAGTAAACTATTTTATTAGTTTTGGGAAGACAAAAATTAAGTATGGGTCATTTCGTTGTGTTTCTCATTCTTGCCATTTCTTGCACTTGTTACTTGGAACCCAAGTTGTTTAATGTCCAAGCTGCAGAAAATGGGTATACTACCACCTGGAATAGTGCAGATGGAACGTGGTATGGAAGTCCAACCGGTTATGGAAGCGATGGTATTTATCTATTTATCTATAATAATATCTATAATATCTATCTATATTAATATAAAGTAATAAAGTGTGGGTTTATATTTGGTAATTAAGTTTCCTTCCAATTAAATTCAAAGTCTCTCTCATACAATAAGTCAATAACAATAATAATTAATCTATAATAATTAAAATAGGAAAATAATAACAAGAGCAACAAATGCATCTATCTAAGCTATAATAATAACATGTTCGTCCCATAGTGTAACATGTGAGTTTGACACGGGTTTTAAAAAATGTTCCTTAAAAGATAGATAAAGAAAAAAATATGTTGTACACAAATATTACTGAGTTAGAATTATTTACATAAATACATAATATTAATTAAAGTTCAATGAGTATAGTGGTATATGATAGCTCAAGTGTAAAAATTGAACATAAACTATTATGAACGAAGTTACTACTATATTCACTACATGTTTAAGAAGTCACATTTTTGTTATTAAATTGTATAAATGCAAATATGTATCGAAATATTTTCATATCCAATAGCAACTTTTTTATTAGTACGAGGTGACCCCGACTTTGCTGAAGTAACTATATGCTCTCAAGAGCTCATCCCACTCTTGAGAGATTTAAATTATCACACTATTTGTTATATTCCCACGGCCATCTAATTACATAATTAAACATTAAAAATTATACACTCTCGTTGCGCAACGCGCATGTTAAGAATCTAGTTTATTTATAATATGATAGCACTATTACAACTGATTATGAATATAATCATATACGGATTAAAAAGCGGTCATTTATTATTAGTAGGAATTTGACTTTTGCACCCTATTTTTAAGTGATGTTTGAACCTATTTTTAAAATCATTAATGTGTGCACTCCAGTTCCATATAAAACCAGTTGACTTTACACCTATTTTTTCACAAATTTTATACTAATGAGTATGTGTGCTAATTATTTCGAAATTAGAGCGCAAAGTCTAATATCGCCCCAAATATGGAGTAAAAATCAAATTTCCTTATTATTAATTTATTATGCATGACCTGTGTTTCTACGTACGTGGCACGATGGTAGTGTCAACTTAATTGCTTCTCTTATGATTTGTCAATTAAGGGCATGTTCAATTATGTTCCACGTACCAACAAAATATTAAAAGTTACGTTGAACAAGCTTGTCCATGAGAAAATAATGAGAAAACATCAAAATGAAAAGTGTTAAGCTCGGGTTGATTTGGAAAACTGTTTTTATCAAACAATTTTATTTTATTCACTTATTTATGATGTCAAGTTTTAATTATATTCTAATTTAGAGTTTGTAACTTTATAGAGATTTTAATTTAGTTTTGAATATAGATTTTGATTATTAAATGTTGAATTAGTTATCAAAGAATTCAACTATTAAATTGATTAACAATAAAATTTTGACTTTGTAAACTGTTTGGGGACGAAGAGAGTAATTTATTCAATAAACATACAATCCCAAAAGTTATATGGATATCGAACCTACAGGCCATTTTTGCTGACCTAGAGGCCATTTGGCTCCCTAAAATGGTATATATATATGTATTGGCCAAAAGGATACAAAGTAATCATTCAGTCAGGACTTTCTGACTGGAATCCCGTTCGGATGCATCTATTTGAGGTAGTTCCCGATAAAGTTTTTTGATGAAATTATGTGAGCATGTTTTTCATGAAGTGTAAATTATGTCTACTAAATTTCAACTGAAAATATGATCGGAAAGATAGCTAAATAAATTGTTGAATAACACTGTGCCAAAATAAATATAACAAATGCAAAACATATTCACATAATTTCATCAAGAAACTCCGGCAAACGAGAACCACTTTAAATGGCGATGGTCGAACGATGACTAGAAAAGTGTTGAGGTGAACTTTTCCCAAGGATACAATAGTATAATAGTATCTGTTCTCTGATTTATGACATCAATATATTTTTCACTCATGTTTAGAAAGATATATCCTCCAATACCAAATATAGGTCTTTTCAAATTCAATTTTGAGAGCAAAAATTTGGTCATTTGTTGTATGAATAAATAGGTGGATCTTGTGGATACACAAACACGGTAGGGGAAGCACCACTCAATTCTCTAATATCATCGGGAAGTACTTCTCTCTATAAAGATGGGAAAGGATGTGGAACTTGCTACAAGGTAATTAGTAAATAATTAATTAATTAATTATATGACATAAACTGTATATGAGTGTGTGTGTGTGTAATCACACATAAACAATAATATACATAAGTGATCGTACCTAAATCATTC